TTGTAGTAGAATCTGGGTGCTCTTCGCCGGATTGACTCTCTTTCCTTTACATCTTCTGGTAAGATTCCATGCAAGACGTAGTCGATGATGGGGAAACGCTAATCTCGTGGTTCGAACTCGATTTGAGTAGCGTGTACCTCTTGAACCTTTTCTTCCTTGGTATCTTCATTGTAAAGCGGCACTAGGAGTTGGTGAGTTCTTACCGTAACAAACTGCTCTGTTTCGGGAGGCTGCGCCAGTGATACGGCTAATGCTGCCAATGCGTCTGCATAAGTGTTCTGTAGTCGTGGAATATGTTCGATAAAGAATCCTTCAAATGATTCCGCTATCTCCACTGCCATCTTATGGTATGGAATTAAATCTTGACTTCGGACTTCATATTCTCCTTGGACTTGCTTGACTATTAGCTGAGAATCACCGAAAGCCTCGAGATACTCCACCCCCAGCTCCTTAGCGAAGTTGAGTCCTATAATCAATGCGTTATACTCTGCTACATTATTCGAACATGGCTCGAAGTTGCGTTGACCTCGTGGGCTTCGTCGGGTAGATCGTCATATATCTCGGCGGTGTCCGTAGTTGGATTAGCTGCCAGGAGATCACAGATGGCCTGCCCTTTTACTGACTTCTGTTGTTTGAAATGTAAGTCGTATTGGGACAAGAGTAAGGCCCATTTTGCCAATCGCCAGCTCATGGAAGCTGGTTGAGTCATGAATACTCGGACCGGATTAACTTTAGAGATGACATAAATGGTTTGCCCGACCAGATAATGCCGCATCTTCTGGATAGCGAACACCAAGGCGAGGCATTCTCTCTCGACCATAGGATATCGAGATTCGGCGCCTACCATGGTTCGGCTCAAATAATATACTGCCTGCTGTAGGCATTGAAAATTGCCTATAGGTCTCCACGAACGGTTCAGTGTTAAAGAACGACGATGAACGTCACTATCCGATCCACATGAGCCCAATCGACGTCGACGAACGACTGAAGTGAGTCAGCGAGCTACGTGAGCGGATAGGGTTTCGAAACAACGAAGACCCGGACCAATCGGGAAGCCCGGCACTGTTCACAAAAAGGACAACGCCCCTCGCGCCTCGACCACTCTACAGATAATCCAATCACCAGAGCGGATCGAATTCTTCATCAAGCATCCAACGCACCCGGAATCACTCAAATCCGAGTTCGGACGAAGAATCTACGGGGAAACAATCGAAAACACCTCAAACGGAGTCCCGGCACGCCGAAATACCCCGGGGGTGTCTAGGAAAAGCCTAGACACCCCAGGGGTGTCCACGCCCCCTAGAGGTCCCCTACATGCCCTCATATGCCTATAAATAGACCCCTTACCCCTTTGTGAGCAATCTAGACGGAAATTTCCGTCTAGATTGCTCCTTTCCCCGTCTAGGTTGGTACACCTAGACGGAATTCCGTCTAGTTTGCTCGGTTTAATCTGTTTCCGTCTAGATTGGGGTAAACTAGATGGAATTCCGTCTAGGTTGACCAACCTAGACGGATATCAACCTAGACGGAAGTAAGAAATCCGTCTAGGTTGCTATCTAGACGGAATTCCGTCTAGGTTGGCAACCCAGACGGAATGCCGTCTAGGTTGCTACAGTACAACCTAGACGGAATTCCGTCTAGATTAGCAATCTAGACGGATTGCTACAGTAGCAACCTAGACGGAATTCCGTCTAGGTTGTTCTGCTACAGTAGTTTTTTTTTTTTTTTTTTACAAAATCTAAGTTACACGCTATATAATATCACATGTACACAATATAGCGCAACACCAAATCATGTTCATATCCAACACAATCGATCTAATTATATTTCAATATCAAATATAATTATATTCAAATAATACATTCACCAAAATACTAGAAAGGTGCATAAATTTTTTACATAGATTGATTATAAAGAATACAATTGTTTACATAACTTAATGAACTTTGCATAATTTATAGAATCCAATTTCATTTACTCCTCCAAGTTGTTGAAGCATCATGTTTCTTCCTCCTTGATCCTACATTATACAAAATTCAACATCAATTAGTCCTTGATCCTACATTAAGATTCATCATAAAAGAGCAGAAAGGAATACAAAATCCAGTTTAATAATGATATGACAAGCCTAAACCTACCCCCCTGTAGGCGTATAAAATTGCTTATAGATCCCTTAGCACAGCTCGGCACAAACCGACGAACCAACGAGGCCGACGAGATCGATGCGAACTTCGCCACGGCAAGGCCACGTAAATACCATGCCTTCGCGATTCGAATCGGCCAAGAGTCAACGAGTCCATCCCACCAAGGGGAACTCGGGACGATATTCACGAATCCGAATCAAGATTCAGTTTTCCGGAGCTCGACACTCCAAGAACGGATTTACTCGCGCTAATCCAGGATGCCAGATTACCTGCGCAAGATCAGGATGCCAGATTTACGTCCCAATCAGTTGAATGGCAGATATTAGCTGGCCAAAGTATGCATGATGAATACAATAGATACCTCCATGACAAGAATCCTCACTTTTAAAGCATCAGTATTGTCTGGGTCAGCAATTAACTCAAGATCTTGCCATGAGACACTCAGCTCTGTCATGTAAAAGTTTAAAGATTCAAGATCTGAATTATTAATGGCTAGCGCATGAAGCCACTGGAACCAATATTGAGAATTTACTGTAAAGGAAAATATGTCATCGACACAGTGTAATACAGATACTAGCTAGCAATTGTTTTCCTACACACAAATTTAACAATCAGAACCAACCAGTTAGATCAAATAAATCTAGCCCATATGTTTACCTCCTTGTAGAGCAATGAGCTACTTGTGGGAACTCCCAAGAAGAGCCATGTCAATCCATTGAACTGAAAAAGGGGAAATAGCTAGGATTTTAACTTTCAAATATATGCCAAACTTTTAATGAAATAACTAAACACTATTTAAATAAATAAGAAGAAACACAGCTCTATTAATTGATATAGCGAAGACCTGCAGGATTGACAGCAAAACCACATTATCCAATAATCTAAAGCTATTAGGCGAAAGCATTTTGAATATGACTTGACTCAACCATTTTAAGTACTCATCCAAATACAAGTAAGCAGACTAAAACATGAGTAAAGAATGGGGAAGACATCAAAGAGACTAGTCCACATAAATTATTATTACTATCTTTGATTACATGTTGAGTATTACCTTGTAATCATCATGCTTCTCAAAGAACATTTTCCATAAGAAACTACGGAATGGAGCAATTCCGGTTCCTGTTGCAAGATGCAAATCCAATAACAGAAATGTTCACAATTTTTTTATCGAAATAAATAGATTACTAAAGATAAATAAATGAAATAATAATACCATTATAATAGTTGCATTTGGATCTTTGGGCATAAGCATTTCTTTCCCAACCGGTCCTGTAATCTTCACTTCAGCTCCCGGCTTCATGTCACCTGCAACACATTAGCATAATGAGACATCTTGAATATTATCAACCTAATATTCAAACACTAAAGCATAATAAACTTCACAAATAAACTTATAAACAAGTTTGTACATATGAAATTTGAGCAAACCCCCTTAACAATCTCTCCCTGATCATTGGTATAAACCAACCTCCTAACACAAAGAGAAACCTGCACAAAACATGTTTACTCTCAATAAATCCTACAAACAACATGACAAGTAA